CTTCAGCTTGGGTCATGATCCAGAGTCCTGGGATCGAGCCCCTCATGGGGCTCTCTGCTCAGCAGGGAGCCTGCTTCCCTTCCTCTCTCTCTCTGCCTGCCTCTCTGCCTACTTGTGATCTCTCTCTGTCAAATAAATAAATAAAAATCTTTAAAAAAAATAAATAAAATCTTTAAAACAAAAATGTGGTGTACACACACACACACACACACACACACACACACACAGAGTGGAATATTAGTCACCCATCAAAAAGAATGAAATCTTGCCATTTGCAATGACGGAGTGGAGCTAGAGCGTATTACACTAAGCAAAATAAGTCAGTCAGGGAAAGATGAATACTGTATGATTTCACTCATATGTGGAATTTAAGAAACAAAACAGATGAACATAGGGGAAGGGAAGGAAAAATAAAACAAGATAAAAACAGAGAGGGAGGCAAACCATAAAAGACTCATTACTAATAGAGAACAAACTGAAGGCTACTGGAGGGGAGGTGGATGGGGGATGGGCTAAATGGGTGATGGGCATTAAGGAGGGCTCTTGTTGGGATGGATGTTGTATGTATGTGATGAATCACTAACCCCTACTCCTGAAACTAATACTATACTACATGTTAACTAACGTGAATTTAGATAAAATCTTGGCAGAAAACAGACTCTTTCCCTACTCTAACGTCACAAAATAGTTACCTATACCAGGAAAGTTGCATTATCTTTCACAACTACATCTACAATCCATCTGAAACCGATTAGTGTTCACAGGATAAGGTAGGATGATTATTCAATTTTCAATCCCTAGCACCTAATAATACAGAATCCAGTGATCCTTAATAAACATTGTCAGAATTAATTAATGAGACAGCATTTGGGAGACACGAAACGGGAAAGCAAAATATGGTCCCAGGCTGGGGTGCCTGGGTGGCTCAGTCAGTTAAGCGTCTGTCTTTGGCTCAGGTCATGATCTCAGGGTCCTGGAATTGAGCCCAGAGTCGGGCTTCCTACTCAGCGGGGAGTCTGCTTGTCCCTCTCCCTCATCCCTCCCCGCTGTTCCTCTCTCTCTATCTATCTGTCTCAGTCTGTCTCAAATAAATACATTAAATCTTTTTTAAAAATTGGGGCCAGGGCTGTGTGGCATCCCAAACCTCCCCTGAATATATCGTGTGCTGCATGTCCTCACCTCCAGCTGCTACCCGCCCACCACATGGCTAGCTACCAACAGCTCTGCACCCACTCCTTCATCTTCAACCAGAAGCAAAACCTCAGAATTTCCATTTTGACCATTATAATTAAAGAAGTATCATCTTGGGAAAGGCTTAGCCATTTCACATTCCAACATACATGTCTGGAGACTTAAAAAGCTTCCAGAAATCTAAAAGCATCTTCAGCCACAAAAAAAACCAGACTGCATGGAGAGTAAAGTGCTACTTCAAATCTTTTTAAAATAAGGCATTTTTTATCAAAACAAAGATGATAAGGTGCCATAAATAGAAAGCTAACTACTTTTCACTCTCTATAGGTCCCTTTTAAGAAATGTCAAAAAAAAATACAGAATTATATTTTAGTCTTCTGGACTAGAAAAGAACTTCACCAGCCACTGTGGGTTGAGCCTGCTTTGATATTAACATGCCCACATTTTACTCCCTGTGAATCCCAAGTGTTTCCAGAGATTCATATTTCTAAGACTGAGATTCAATTAAAAGGTGACAAGAAAAGAAGAAGGGTGTGATAAAATCTTACACTTGACCCAAAGGGAGTGCAAACACACATTCAAGCCTAATGAAAAAGATGCTATGGCCCCATGCATGGCAGAGAAGATTATTTTATCTGTGGTGATAGAGGTTGCTTAGGAAATACTTTGTTTCTGATCTAAGGCAGCGGCCAAAGAAATAGAAGGAAGGGTATTTGGGATGCCGATGCCTAGTTTAAGAAGAATCTGAATTTAGCAGTGATTCCACATACAAAATAAAAGACAAACATGCCTGAAGGCTCCCTGGCTGAAGGTTTTGGGAAAGTGGTAGCTCTGATCACTCCTGGAGAAGCAAAGTGAGCCCAGGTGAGAGTAAGGAGGGACATCAGCTGCTCAGTTCTCTACATGTGCTCTCTGAGCTGACAGCAGCTTCAAGCCCAATGGGTGCCCAGCAAGGCAGGGGCAAACGAATCAAGTCAAATGAGTCAGCTGGGAGATGGAGAACTTTCTCTGAGAACCAAGGGAACCCAGACCTAGCACAGGGTCCTGCCGCACCCGAAAAGGGTAAAGGGCACAGGATGGTACATGGTATTGGCCGCTCTCCTACTGGCAACCCAAGTGTTTGACAGGGTGACAAAGGGATTTAGATGACAAGGAAAACTGACGCACAGCCTGACGTATTTATTGAGGACTTCCTACACTCAGGTCTATCGATGGGCTAAGCACTGTGATTCATCAAATTGCCTCGAAACCTTTTAATAGTCAAAAGATGTGGGTTCAAGTTCAAACTCTGTCCCTTATTAGCTGGGAGGAGCTTCATCGGGTTGTTTTTTCCTCTGAGCCTCATTTTTCTCCATTGTACAAATGAGCAGAGCTGGATTAAGTGTCTGAACTCTCTCCAGCTCTGAAACTCAGTGGTGCATTGTCTGAGATTTCCCTCCCAATGGGGCCCAAGCTAATCAGCTCACACCATCCATGGTTTCTCTGTCTGAGGGTTTATCTCCCTAATCAGATTTGGGTAAATTTTCATCCTGTCTCTGTCTCTTACTTCCAATCCAATAAAACAAGTATGGATTTGTTTTGTATTTCATCTCATGTCATGATTCATTCTAACGGTCACTGCCCCAACATTTCCTTGCTTATAGAGTAATTACCCATTAAAGAGCTTTCATGGCATGGTTTTCAAATTTGCATCCTCTTTTTCTGAGGTAGATTGATCCTAAACTGATTAAAATATCTCAGAATTTCAAATGCAATTTTTAAAATGCAACAGATTTTTCAAGACTCCCTCATGACTGTGCCATGCCAAGGGGGTTGCCAACTCTTGCTGACTGCCAAGGAAGACAAATAAATAATCCCTGACAGTGGTTTTGAAATGAGAAGTAAATGTCCAATTACTAGCATGGCAATGTCACCCTGATCCATTAACGACTAGGTCGTCCCTGAGGCCCCGCGGCTGATGCTTCAGATTTCCCCAGGACAGAGCAGCCCTGGGACCAGTCTTCTCATTCAGCAGGATGGGAACCACTGGCCACTTTCCTTTGCCTCACGTGGGTCCACCTTCTTGATAAAGATATTCCTTCTTTGTTCCAAAACCCTGCTAATGCTCACCACTCTGTGAAGCCAGGGAAGGCTCTTTCTAGCGTTATAACCACCCAAATTCTACCTCTTAACCTCCTAACCTAAGATCCTGGACCCTACGCTTTGAGCATTTACACCCTCGGACTTTTGATCTAACCTTGCAGATGTCTCCCCCTTAGATCAGGACCACGATCCCCCTTGGATCAGGACCACCACCACAGGCTAGGATAACCCAAACCTAAAACAGTCAGCATCGCCACCCATCATGCCTGCTGACATCCAGGTATCTAGCTAATCTATACCTACTCTTGGATATGACCAATCCATGCCAATAAAATCAGCCAAAGGATTTCTGCAACACAATACTAATTTGAACCCATCACTGTGCTGTGATCCCTTTCGTTTTCTGAAAACCAAGACTATCTGTGCAGTCTAACAGCATCACAGGACCAAATGGAGATGGTCTCTGGCTGATGCTCCAGGCACCCAGACCCCACTGACTTGAGTGACCTTGAGTGGACTTGAGTGGACTTGGCTCAGCCAAGACCAAAGTGCAGAGCATCAAAGCTGGATGGAATTTTCAATAACTGTTTTTTGTTTGTTTGTTTTCATGCCTTTGAAACATGTACTTTGGTTTTTTTGTTTGTTTGTTGTCTTTTCCCCCTATGAAACTGTAACACTCTGAAGCTGAAAACCATGTGGAGCCTCAAACATCATTACTATGCTAACTATGAAAATGCCAGCTCAGAGGAAGGTAACCAAATCCCTGTGAGGTTACTAGATATCAGGGACCTGGGTGGCCCTGACAGAGCACAATCAAGATCACAATGGGGCCTACAGGATGAAGGCTCCTGCCTCTATCGACTAAGTCTCAGGAGTAGCACCCCTCTTGGCTGAGAGAATGACCCTTGCCCACCACTGCACAGGTCAGTCTAGTGACAAGTGAATTCCTAGTCTAGGCATGCAACTTTAGATCTGTGAGTCAAAACCCCTGTTCGGAGGTGCTCTCCCTTGTCTCATGAGAGGCTTTTATTTTTTCCAGCGTGGCATAAAATTAATTGGAATATTTATGTCCTAAAAAAATCAGAACACGGAAAGCAAGCTTTTTGATATCCCTTCAGGTCATGTCTCCAGACACTGAAATTTTATAATTAGGCTTGTAAATACTCCTCACTTTGAGGATGATGAAATGCAAACTGTGAATCTAGGGGATTTCCTGCTAACAGCTCAGCCAGGAAACTCTGAATTGAATTTTCTCTCCTTGGTATCAAAGTGTCCCTCTTCTGTAAACAAGCGGTTACTGAAAATTGCATCGGGTGCTTTATGATCCCCTAGGGATGAAGGGGCCCTGGGGAGCTCACATTCCACTGCGGAGACTCCGATGGACGTAAACACTGGAGCACAGTTCCCTGCTATATGCTTCCTAGCTCCGCGTGCTCCAGGGGCTCAGAGTAAAGTGGGCCTGGCCTTGAAGTACCTCAGATTTCTAAACAGAGTAAGCGGGAGGAGGCATTCCAAGGGAGGAGAGGAGAGAACATGAGCAGAAGGAAGGCAGGGCAATGTGTATTTGGGGATAATGAGTAAATCCAATTCATCTGGAGTATACTTTACAGAGGAGCATGGAGCGAATATTGGGGAACTGGAATTCCTGAAGACTCTTTCCATCATGAATGGTTGTTCACTTACTTTTGAGGACAGTAATTATGCAACACCATGGACTGTAAGAATGGAGGAAACATGGTTGTTAGAAGGGCTCCTTATGTTCTTCAGAAGCTACTCAATCAATATAGACCTAATAGTAGCACCTTGTCCCTGTTTCTATTAGAAATCTTTGCATTCCCTTCAACGGACGAATGGATAAGGAAGATGTGGTCCATATACACTATGGAGTATTATGCCTCCATCAGAAAGGATGAATACCCAACTTTTGTAGCAACATGGATGGGACTGGAAGAGATTATGCTGAGTGAAATAAGTCAAGCAGAGAAAGTCAATTATCATATGGTTTCACTTATTTGTGGAGCATAACAAATAACATGGAGGACAAGGGGAGTTAGAGAGGAGAAGGGAGTTGAGGGAAATTGGAAGGGGAGGTGAACCATGAGAGACTATGGTTTCTAAAAAACAATCTGAGGGTTTTGAAGGGGCGAGGGTGGGAGGTTGGGCGAGCCAGGTGGTGGGTATTGGAGAGGGCACGGATTGCATGGAGCACTGGGTGTGGTGCAAAAACAATGAATACTGTTACGCTGAAAATAAATTTAAAAAATTTTTAAAAAATAAAAATTTAAATTAAAAAAAAAAAAGAAATCTTTGCATTGCCTTCTTTTTTTTCATGTGTCTCTCTTTCCTGCTAGACTGAGAGCTCCACGAGAGAGTGACTGTTTCCCATTCAACTTCTAATTTCTTAGTACTTGGCACAGTGCCTAGAACATAGTGGGTGCTCAGTAAATGTTGAGTGAATTAATTAATAAGTGATTAAGGAAACAATTGTGCATCCCGCGTGGCCATTTGGATTGTGCAAAAGGTTCTAGACACCAGTGACATTTCATATGGAGAGACGCTGTACCAATGGTCGACATGGTGATGGAACCAACAGTGGGGGAGGCTCCTTTCTAATATCAAGAACTGCTAGGGCTGAACATCAAAATCTTGAAAAGTGCAAGAGCCCCAGGAAAAGGCTTTTTGTCAAAGAGTGCTTGAGGCATAGCTTATCATTCGAGACTGCCTCTCAATGGCTTTGAAGAAAAACCCTGGTTTTGTAAATTACCGTTACAGGTAGACAAATTGATCATCTGGAATTTGTAGCTGGTTTGTTAGGCTGTATCCAGAGAAAGGAGTGGGTAGCAGGTTTGGCTCAGCAGTCTATAATTTTAAGCACTTAATGGGATAATAATTTGCTGTTCAGTTTGTTCGTTTTGAAAAACATCACTCCATTCAGAGGGGAAAATGAATAAAACCAAGCTTTTGCTCTCAATCTGTATGGAAACATCAATATCCTTCAATCAAAAAAACAGGTGGTTATGAAGACATGGAAGCATGGAAAAGACTGCCAGTATCCTGTAGAAAAACGTGCATCTGTATGATTGGTTGTATTAACATATCATGAGCAGCTTTCTATAATAAGAGCTCCAAGTCCAGATGTTCTATACACTCCACCCCAGTCCACAGCAGTCTCGCCAGAGATTTCCTGGAGCCCCACACAAAAAGGAAAGACACAACTGAACAGAGTGTGTGTTTGTGTGTGTGTATGCTTCCATATCTGTGTGTGTCACGTTACTGGGGCTGCCATTTTCTGATAAGAGATTATGTGAAATGGTGGTCTAGAGCATTTTCTACTCAGTTTAAATGTAAAGAGTTTCTCATGACATTAATTTAGTTGATTTCTTCCTTGATACGTCACATGCCTTCACACAACTTCTTCTTTTCTCTCCTTTCCCTTTTACATCTGAAATTAATTCTGAGGAAGTCAAGTTGGTCTTTATAGACGTTGTAAGTTCCTTAGAGTAGATCATGCTTCTGTGTCACATATCAGGATTCAAACATCTCTTTGTAAGGGCTAGAGGTATATGTAGGCTATTAGTCAACACAAAGGAGAAAGGAACATGAGAAAGCAGGGAATATTATCCTCAGTAAGAGACTAAGATTTTTTTTTAATTCTGCAATTCTTCAAACATGTAGAGCCCTTATTAGGTCCAGTGAAGGAAAAAATAATAAAAATAGTAACAATAATAATAATAAAAACACTCTCTGCCATCCATTCATTATTTCATTGTTTGACTATTTTTTATCTCTAGCTCACATTAGGCAGTACTATTAGCTATCTTATTCAAGATATGAATAAGATATGATGCTAACCCTAAGAACGTGCCTTCCAGAGACTCACATCTTAAAATGGTGAATCATTTTGTGCTGACCTCTGTCCAGAGAGAAGGGGAAGGGATGTGATGGAGAGGTAAAACTCTAGCTGTATCTGTAACGTTTTACTTCTTTATAAAACCTAATAAGAAGAATATTAACATTTGCTAAATCTGGATGAAAGGTACATGGGTATTTGCTATATTATTTTTCTGCTTTATTCTGTAAGGAATACTGCATAGTTAAATATTATCTTGAAAACTGAGACATGGGGATGATGATGATGATGACGATAAAAATGTGGTAAAAGCAATGTTAGGAATCTGCACAGAGTAGTGCAGGGGAGCAAAGAAAGGGCATATGATCCATCTGAAAAGAAAGGCAGGAGTTGACACCTCCTCTAGGAAGTCCAGAACTAAATTGTTGCCCCAGGAATCTGAGTCTGAGTCCTTGCCAAAAAACTCCTATGGGGTAGATCAGCAAGAGAGACAGCCTGGGCAGAGAAATAGGGCAAGACCCCAACCAGGCAATTGTTCCTGGGTGAGCCTCTATGAACACCAATTTGTCCTTCTACCCCCTTCCAGATTAACTGACTCTACTTTTGTCAAGTTCTTGGGTTCTTACTGATTAACAATTCCCTGCTGGAAGTCAGTGTCTTTCTAAATCCAGACCATTTATCTGAGCTTTGATTTATAGCCTCATCCCTGACTGTAGAAACCTACTCCCTCCAGGACCTTGAATTTTGCTTCATCTAAATGTTCCCCTTCCCCATTTCCCACTCAATCAAGAACCATGACTTGGGGGTGCCTGGCTGGCTCAGTCAGTAGAGCATGTAACTCTTGATCTCAGAGTCACAAGTTCAAGCCCCACAGTCGACGTAGAGAAGAAAAAAAAGAGAGAGAAAAGAAGGAAGGAAGGAGAAAGGAAGGAAGGAAAAGGGAGAGAGGGAGGATGGATGGATGAGAGAGAGAGAAAAGGGGAGACATGACTCAGCATCTGCTCATTGATGAGTAATTTTACCCCACAGAACCCAGAATTTTTGTCTTCATCCATCAGAAGGTAGGTACTAACTCCAACCTGAAGTTAACTAACTCCAACCTGGGCTGGGACCTGCTTACTACAGCCTCTGAACATTTTAACTTGAACTATAAGAACCCTTTGGGCAGCCTGCTCTCAGTCTGGACTATATGTCTGTCCTGCTACCATAGAGTTCTAAGAAACTCTATAGACTAAGATATGATAGGATCTCCAGGCTGTCAACAGATGAGTGACACAATTACAAACAAAAACAATGTGAGCAGAATATACCATAGGCCAGTGTCTTCCAACCTTCCATTCCGGAGTCCACTTGTAAATTAACCATAGACTTTGCTGGAAAGAGCAGATTCTTGGACTTAGCCCAGAAGAACAGAGGAGGGCCAAATGTGGACCCACCAAGTTGGGGCAGAGTTCCTGTTCAACCTCACAGTTGCCATGTGGGTGGGAGGCAAGACACAAACCAACTGGCCAGAATGGAAGCCCTAAAGCAATGGTTGCTTCAGAGCCAGTGACAGGTGTTGACCCAGACAGTAACCAGGTTGAAGGGCATCCCAGGCAATATAGCTAGAAATTGCTCAAGTTGGCACTCACCACCAAGTACATGGAGCACAGAAACCCTGCTTCATTGATATTTTCCCCTCATAGAGAATACATATGGAGCACATATGAAAGATACTAAAACCATCCAAGGACTTCAAGCACCCTGTGTAACCAAAAAATGGGAATGAACTGTACTTCAATAGTTCAGAAACTAAATTTTTAATTGAATATACTAAATAATAAAATGAGCCAAAGTTTGTTTTTGAAGTTTTTTGTTTGTCAGTTGGCTGAGTGTGGGATCGTCAGAACCACTGTGAACTGGAACTGAACTTGAATATCAAAATGTTCTCAAAAGTTAGGCAACATTCTGCCAAGTTCAAGTCACAGATTAAAAAAAAAAAACAAGTTCAAGACAACACAGGATTGATTAAAGGGCTATTCTTTTTTTTTTTAAAGATTTTATTTATTTATTTGACAGAGAGAGATCACAAGTAGACAGAGAGGCAGGCAGAGAGAGGGGGAGGGAAGCAGGCTCCCTGCTGAGCAGAGAGCCCGATGCGGGACTCAATCCCAGGACCCTGAGATCATGACCTGAGCCGAAGGCAGCAGCTTAACCCACTGAGCCACTCAGGCGCCCCTAAAGGGCTATTCTTAATAAGACAATAAAGGATTTGAAAGCCCACTAAGAGTAAGAAAAAAAAATTAAGTTTTACACGAAAAGAAATAATGAAGATAAAATTAAAAATAATACATTAGAGAACTATTTCTACCAATTGTGACTGATATGTAAAGAGCTTATTTAAATTAATCTGTAAAAATCAACACCACAGTAGACCCCAGCAGGCGCAGATATACACAAAAGAAGAAATATAATCAGTAAGTTATATATGGATAATTGTTACTTTTATTAGTAAAAAAAAAGAAAAGAAAACCACACTGGAATTTTACTCTATATTCACTATAACTAATACTCAATCTGGCAATATTCTGGCAGAAATGACATATTTGCATATTGTTTTTGTAATTTATACCAATGCAAATCCTTTAAGGACACAATTAGCACTAAAGAATATAGGGATTAGGGGTGCGAAAGTTGAAAATCCACATACTCCTGACTCCCCCTACAAAATTAACTACTAATAGGGTGCCTGGGTGGTTCTGCCTTTGGTTCAGGTCATGATCCTGGAGTCCCGGGGTCAAGTCCCACATCAGGCTCCCTGCTTGGCAGGAAGTCTGCTTCTCCTGCTGACCCTCCCCCTTCTCATGCTCTCTCTCTCAAATAAATAAATAAATAAATAAATAAATAACTACTAACAGCCTACTGTTGACCAGAAGCCTTACTGAGAAATTAAGACATATTTTACATATGTATTATGTTACTGTATTCTTACAATAGAGTAAGTCAGAGCAAAGAACATGGTAATAAGAAAATCATAAAGAAGAGAAAATCCATTTCCAGGACTGTCCCATATATTTGGAAGACATGTCCACGTAACCGACCTGCTCAGTTCATATCTGTGTTGTTCAAGGGTCAACTGCACATCGAGACATTAGAATATTCCCATCCCTTGACTCATTCTCTGGAACTGCTGAAGGAAGTTTTTCAAAAGAGGGAAAAAAAAGCTACACACAAAAAGACATTCATTGTAGCTCTTTGTTACAACAAGTGCTGGAAATGTGTACCAACGAGGAACGGTCAGTAACCAGGGGTACGTCAGCCCCGAAAACCCCCAATACCACAGCCATAAAACAGTACTGACGAAGAGACCGGCAGTAAGAGAGCATGTTTACCGTAGAAAGTTAAGGGAAAAAAACATACAATGCAAAACTCTATTCATCCACTGATTATAATTACAGTAGAGCATATCTGCAGGTGGATAAAAATGAAGAAAACTAAACAGTTGTGCGTGGGCTGCGGGCTGTCCAAGATGGTTATTTGATTCTTTTTCAGCCATGGTCTCCATGTGCTGGTACCTGGGGCATGGCAGGGGCAGGGGGAGCCCA